TGTACAAATCTGCACCTTTCATTTACACGTTTTAAGCATTTCCTGGGAACTATAAGCAGAGAAATCAGCATGTAATCTTAAAAAATATGGTCCTTCAAGGATTCATTAGTAAAGAAAATGGTTCTATGTAGAACCATGAACACTCAAAGAACCCTTTGCATGATTAAAGGTTTCTTTACATTGTCAAATGGTTCTTTAGACTAATGGAGAATGTCTTGTGTATGGTTCTATGTAGAACCTTTTTGAAAAGGGTTGAATAGAAGAACAGTGCTATATTGTTACAATGTTAAGCTTGTAAAAATAGAAGAACCCTTTTTGGAACCCTTTTTTATATAGAACCCTTTTCAGCATCTTTTCCATTAATCTGAAGAACGTTTCACGATGAAAAGTACCAAAAAGGGTTCTATTGTCACAAGCTTGACATTGTAACAATAAAGCATCAAAAAGAGTTCCTTTGTAGAACCCTTTTCAAAAAGGTTCCATATAGGACCATACACACAACATTCTCTATAAGTCTAAAGAACCATTTCACAATGCAAAGAACCCTTTAATCATGCAAAGCGTTCTTTTCATGTAAAACAGAACCATTTTCTTTACTAAAAACCCCTGAAGAACCATATTTCTTTTTTTTGGTGTGTACTTTTAAACAATCCAGAGACATGAAAATGTGCTCTATGGGTTTTTGTCCTATATGGGCTATACAGGTTGTTCTATTTGTTTTTTAAAAGCCTATTACATTTTTTAAGATGTACTTTATGTATGTTTACTTTTATTGACTATGTTTCACCTATTTTTTCACTTACTAACATTTTTTTCACCCATTTTGAGTTGTCTTGTTAAGTAGTTCATATAGAGGCTCCATTACCACCAATGCTCTCAATGCTTTCCTATCAGTTATATGTTACTCTTCCCACCATATGCAACTTATACTGAGGCAACCCACACTGTAATTTTGTTTGGGGAAATGTCACTTGTATTAATTGACATTGTAGCATGTCAGTAAATTACATGTGCAAGCTGACTATTATTGACAAAAACATCTGCAAATGATGTTCTGTGCTATTTAGTATGTGGTTTGCCTCACAGGTATTTTATAGAATTTATGATTATGATAGAACATGATAAGATTATGATAGAACAGGTAGGTCAGCCAAATGTCCATGTTTATAGCTTCAGACCTAATAAAGCACTATATTACATATGACACATTTTCCTGCCCTATTTTCTAGGTCTAGTAGCTTGTTGTACCCATTATCCTCTGCACAATGTATTCAAAGTGCATTGCTGCTGTAGGGCATTCCGTATGAATTCCACTGCTGTTCACACCGCTTTTTCCTTGCTCAGCGGTCATTTTCATGCATGTCACTTACAGAAAGTGTTTAGAAGCTACGGAGTATCTTAACTGAAATGGAGTGGAATCAAGAGACACAGACTGAATCCCAAATGCTGCCCTATTTCACATTAAATGTGCTAAAAATAAAGGTTCCTAAATGGTTCTTGGTTTAGATGCATGTTTCTAGGGAAGGGAAAAAAAACCTCAGTGGGGACAGAACCCTTACAATGTGTGGATTTACAAAACATTTTAAAAAGTTTCTTTTTGGCACCCTTGTTTTTGAGAGTGCAGGGTGGTAGGCCTTCTATGCCGATAATAGTGCACTAGATATCAATGAAAATTAAGGCGCAACCGAGTGATGCAACTGACCACAAAACTGGTAGATCTTAAGTTTGAGCCCCAGTGATGTCATAGCCATCCATTGCCAGAAGTCCAAGAGAGCTGGGAGTCCAATTGAGTACCGCCCTCAATTCCTTCAGTGTGATGCTAGCCCATATATACACCATACCACCTCACCACCCTGCCAAATCCCTTAGTGTGATGGCAGCCAATACGTGCATCTGTTAAGTGACGTAACAGAGCTGACAGTTAGTCCTCCCTTCCAAGCATGTTGAGCTGTTCAATGATTCTGGTTTAGCAGCAGTTTGAAAAGATGTGGTGGCACTTCACGTCTTGGTGGAAGCGCAAGCAACCTTCACCCTCCCAGCTTGGTAGTGTCATGTGATAAAGGGAAATCTATTAAGCAGATGAAACTGGCTATGACTAAATTGGGGAGAAAAAACTGGGTAAAAATCGGGTTAAAAATAAATGAATACATAAATTGATGAGATTTGAGTTTGTAATTGGTTTCAGTGTTCAATATATGCGGAGCTGTAAAAGTTCAGAGTTCATTTTTAAGCTTAATCCTAAACTGTAGTAGTGTGCTAAGTAACGATTGTCCATTCGAAGTGAATTGTACTCCAGGATCAGACTTACTCTACATCCAAAAATCCACACAGCACCGACCGTATTTAGTGTTCTAGCAGAGAATTTAGTGTATCTAGAGACAAGAGGAGAGCACGTGTCTCTTTTTTCTCCACTCCATGTTCTCAGTGTGCAGACAGCATTCCTTTCTCTGCCCTGTAACCCTGAACCAGGGATAATCTTTTCTACTGTCATCTCTCTCTCCTCCAGCTCACAGGGCTTTTCTCAATTGCTTTAACAAGATTCAGAAACAGAGCTCACATTTTCAGCACTATTAAGCTAGTCTGCATGGAAAATCCTCCAAAATACCTCATTAAAATGTTCTAAAAAAAAGACCCGTGTAACATTAGTGTAGAACTGAAAGCTCATTTTGCTGTTCAAAGAAGGTCTCACCAAATACGAGACATTACTACTTATACATTATAGCCAATCACAATATCTACAATTGTAGATCATCTATCACTAGATCAAAATAATGCTATCAGTCTTCATCAGTGCAAGTTTGAATATTACAACTTACACATGTGGAAATTCTGCAATATTTTTACTGAGAAGTTGAACCATGAAGAAAAAACTGAGATTTCTTATAGCACTGTGTGTGTACACAGTGCAAACTTTAGTTCACCTCCAGTCAATAAAACATACCCCAAAACAAACATTAATATTGATCTTCTGTTCAGTAAAGCTATTTAACTTTAGTGCAAATGAAAGAAATCTGTGTTATGGGATGAGAAAATGCATTTCTTTTAGTTCTACTGCTGTCATGCACATACAAATGCATATTATATCTGGTTTCTTTTCTACTCATTCACCTCAATAATGTCAGTAGTTTGTACATTATTCCTCTAAAGAAAAAGGGAAAACAGAAAAGAGAGTCGCTTGTGACAAATGACTAATGGATTTCACGTATAGTGGAAAAGAGCATGTTTTACAAAATTAGACAGCAGTTCAGAATTGTGTCAAAGCAATTGAGAAAAGACTTCATTGTATTCTTAATCACACTCACCTCCACACTTTATCACACTTTTTCCCCTGGCAATCTACTCTATCTTCCTTTATCTCATTCTCCTTTTATCTCTCTCTCTCTCTCCCTCTCTCTCCCTCTCTCTGCCTTGCATTTTTAAAAAATAAATGGGTGCCAGAAAGTAATATTTGGTGCAAAGCTATAGAAGAACCACTTATGGATCACTAAAGAGCCTTTTCTTTGAGAGGTTTAATGTCTGTGTTTTTCTATCTGAGTACAATATGGCCAAAAGTATGTGGATACCCTTCCTAATTATTGAATTCAAGTGTTTCAGCCACACCCACTGCTAAAAGGTGTATAAAATCAAGAACATAGCCATGCAATCTCGCTAGACAAATAGTGGCAGAAGAATGGGTCCTACCGAGTAGCTCATTAATTTTGAACATGGCTGTCATAGGATTCCACTTTTGCCACAAGTTACTTCATGAACTTTGTGCCCTGCTAGATCTGCCCTGGTCAACTGTAAGTTTTCTAATTCTGAAATGGAAACATCTAGGAGCAACAACTGAAGCATGTAGCTTGTAAAAATCTCCTGATGCATCACTCACTGCAGAGTTCTGAACTGCCTCTGGAAGCAACATCAGCCCAAGAACTGTGTGCCAAGAGCTTCATGAAATGGGTTTCCAAGGCTGAGCAGCTGGACACAAGCCTAACATCAACTATGTGCAATGCCAAGTGCTGGCTGGAGTGGTGTAAAGCACACCACCGCTGGACTCTGGAGCAGTGGAAACATGTTCTCTGGAGTGATGAATCACACTTCACTTTCTGGCAGGCTAACAGACAAATCTGGGTTTGTCAGATGCCAGGAGAATTATACCTACTGGAATGCATACAGCCAACTCTAAAGTTTGGTTGAGGAGGGATAACGGTCTGATGCTGTTCAGTGTTTGGGCCCTTTAGTTCCAGTTAAGGGTGATATTATGCTACAGCATAGAGACATTTTAGACAGATATTTCCTTCCAACTTGATTACAACAGTCTGAGGAAGGCCCTTTCCTGTCCCAGCATGACTGTGCGAAGTTCATAAAGACATGGTTTGATGAGTTTGGTGTGGAGGAAATCCAGTGGCCTGCACAGAGCCCTGACCTCAACACCACTGAACACCTTTAGGATTAATTGGAATATTGACTGCGAGCCAGGATTTCTCATTCAACATCAGTACGTGCCCTCACAAATGCTCTTTTGACTGAATGAGCACAAATTCCCACAAACACACTCCAAAATCTTGTGGAAAGCCTTTCCAGAAGAGTGGAGGCTGTTATGACTGCAAATGGGGGGCAACTCTATATTAATATCCATGGTTTTGGAGTTAGATATTCAACAATCTCATACAGGTGTGATGGTCAGACGTCAATACTATTTTGGCCATATAGAGTATAATTTTTTTTAGCAGTATCTTAACTGTATTGATGACTCTAATGCATTTGTATAAGCTAGGTTCTCTGAGTGGACAACAAAACAGTTTTGTAAGCTTATCTAGATAAAAGCATCTGCTAAATGCCATAAACATAAGTGGTTTCATTTGAAACTGTCTAAGGTTCTTTAGGGAACCAAACGTGGTTCTTCATGTCATTGCACCAAAGAACCCATTTTAGCAGCTTTTTTTTTACAAAAATGGGCCCCCCCCCCCTTTCCATTGTTTTCCTTTCTCTTCTTCTTCTTTCTCCTTTCTCCTCTCCTCTCAGGGCTGTTTTTTGGTGTTTTTGCCAAACTTGTCGCTGAGTTGTTGAATGAGGTTGGCAAGTTCTCCTGTGGCCTGAGATTTCTCCTCCAGGAGCTCGTATCGCAGGCTGGAAATATCCTGCTTTATCTCCTTCAGCTCACCTGCAACACACGCACACACACAGTACACTGTAACAAACAGCAAAGGCCAGACGTTGATACAAAGTGTTTGCAAGATTTGGAGCAACAGAGAACTGTTATTTTTTGGGTTTTTTTGCTTGGTTTCATATTGGCTAAATCATTTATTTCACAGGAATTAAACCAGTAAAACCATTTTTTACCACATGTTAGGCCATTGTAAACTACTGTTCAGATGTCTAAAATTACTATTCAAAAGTTTGGAATAAATGTTTAAAAAAATAATAAAACCAATTTTATTGCAGATGAATGTATAACACAAGCCTAATTTGTCAGTCCTTTGTGATTCACAGGTTTCAAATGATTAGTAGGAAGGACTGAGAAAAGCTCTATAGCCCTGAGAATGAGGTTACCATCCATAATGCTTCATATTTCAGAAGAGATGATCAAACCACAAGGCAGAAAACCTGACAAAAACCTACTGTAGTATAATTAGATAATTATACTATGTGTTTTAATAAAATCTTGATGGTCTCAAAATCCTCAGAATAAAAATAAAACATTTTTTATGTCTAATAAATAATATTTAAATCTACACTGTGTTAGCTTTTATTTCATGTAAAAAAACACCTGTTATTCTGCAGTGTGTTTGCAAGCAGATCCACACAAATACACACAGCCTCTCTCGCTCACATGCACACACACAGCTGGTGGTACTACATCTTCATCATGGTGGTACTACATCTTCATCACAGACATCAGTGTCAGCACTGAATAATTTGCATCTGCATTTAGGCATGTGCCTGCACATAGCACATGACCTGCTCACTTTATTCTGTCTGCATGTTTAAACGCAATTATACACACACAGGCATGGACACGCACGAGCACACACACATGCACACATACTAATACTGGGCTGAACAATTTGTGGAAAATAGCTAACTACGATTTTTCAGATTGATATTATGACTGTGATATAAACAGCGTTTTTTTGGGAATTCCACAGATTTCTTTCCTATGCTGGTGATAGGAACCAGGGATCCCTATGTCTACAACACAAACACATCTGTCTGTCTGTCTCTGGCTTAAGGCTTAACACTTAACACAGTGCACCAGATGGCCAGGTAGTTGTGGTTGTGTTGTCATGTAGGCATCATGTAGATGTTTGGTTGCTTATAATTATTTTATTTATATAGCACTTTTCATGCTGGTGGCAGCTCAAGGTGCTTTACAGACAGGTGATAAAGCAGAGCAGTAATACAAGAAATTCTAAGTATTCATTTAGAAACATCTAAGAAAATGACAGAACAAATTAAAAGAAAAATACCACGAGATGTGGAGTTTTAATTAAATGCTAAGTTAAAGAGATATGATTTTAGGTGCTTCTTAAAAGTGAGCACTGAGCCTGACTGTCTAATAAAAGTGGAATTGAGTTCCACAGTTTAGAAGCATAATAACTGTCTGTCCATGTTTTCTGCATTTCACTGTAGGTGTTTGCATATGGCCAATATCTGCAGATCTAAGATCACATGCTGGAACATAAACAGACAGACACTCTCTGATGTAAGCGGAGCTTTATGGTCATATAGAGCCTTAAAAAGTAGTAGCAGAACTTTAAAATCTATCCTGAATGATACAGGTAGCCAGTGCAGTTCTGTCAAAACGGGAGTGATATGATCTCTGTTTTGATTTTGTTAGGATTTGTGCTGATGCATTTTGTACAAGTTGTAGAGGATGAACTGTTTTCTTAGGAAGTCCATTACACTCATCAAGTCTGCTTGTAACAAACGCATGAACAAGTTTCACTGCACCGCTCTGAGAGAGAAAAGGCCGAACTTTAGCGATATTTCTCAAATGATAAAAAGCTACTTGTGACTGTGTTTACATGCAGGTTTAAACAGAGCTCAGAGTCTAAGATCACACCCAGGTTTTGTACTTCAGGTTTGGTATATGAAGCTAAAGAACCAAGTTTCTCATAAAGCAGCTTTCTCTGAGTTTCTGTACCAACAACCAGCATTTCTGTTTTTTTGTCATTTAATTGTAGAAAATTTTGCAACATCCACTGAGAAATATCTGACACACACACAGCTGGTCAGTCTGTCTACAGAGTCTTGATCTTCAGAAGGAATAGAAATGTATAGCTGGGTGTCATCAGCATAGCTATATAAAATTGATATTAAATTTCCTAATGACATCACCTAGAGGTAACATGTACAAAGAGAAAAGCAAAGGCCCTAAGACTGAACCTTGAAGGACTCCACAAAAAATGCCAAATCTTTTTGATGAATAATTTCCAATTGAAACCATTAATTGTCTACTAACTAAATATGATTTAAACCATTCTAAAACTGTGTCCGAGAGGCCGACCCAGCATTCAGGGAGTTGGATTAGAATCTTGTGGTCAACGGTATCAAAAGCTGCACTAAGATCTAATAAAACCAGAATAGAAGGATTTTGCATTCAGCCTGAGGTCATTCATAACGTATCTCTGTATCACTTAAACCTCATGTAGGCCATAATTAAAATGGAAACTCTTGCAATTTGAAAACTGCGCCCTTTCAAGTTGCAATTTCGATATTAAAATGATTAAACTTCCAGCCCTACATACACACACACACACACACACACACACACCAGTCAGACACTCAATATGCTGGTAAATGTAATAATCATTTAAGCATATTAGATTTTTACCTTCATTGACTTCATCATTCTCCCTGTCGACCTGTGCCTTCAGAACGTATCTCTTTATGAGACGCTTCATAATCTTCTGTGTGAGACAGAGAGAGAGAGAGAGGGAGAGGGATAGAGAGAGAGAGAGAGAGAGAGAGAGAGAAGGGATGATGCACTGCTTAATGTTCTGTAAACTTCCTGTGCTTTTTTCATCATCAGTTGCCTGATACAGGATGACACTACAAGATATAAAAGCTAAACAGAGCTTTATTGCATCAACAAACACACATGCACACAAAACAACCATCCACATACACTTGTTCAATAGAGAGTCACTCTCTACAGCTCTGCTCTTCAGCTAGTCCCTGTATGGATGAGGTTCATAGAGGAACATCATAAATGAGAGCCATGAAGGAATACCTGGCAAGAATGATTAAATGCAAAAACTTTCAGAGTATGTGACCTTTTCATCACTTTTAATGGACATTTTTTCTGTACAATTACAGATCACAGTGAATGTGAGAGGCTGTGAGAATCTGACATTTAATCTTATATATTTAAACATGTTTCTGCAGCTGTGGATGAGCTTCTTCATCACTGCATTACCGTCACATTCTCACAGCACCTTCCAGAACTCATTAAATACTAGCGTCAGAGTGCAATAGAGAGTCATTCAGCAGCGTTTAAACTGCACACACAAACCAACCTGCTGCAGTTTTACCAGCTCAGGATGAGGCTGTTTGACTAGTTGTCTGTATGTCTGTCTGTCTGTCTGTCTATCTATCTAACTATCTATCTATTTATTTTACAAACAGCAAATCTGATTGTTTCAAATCCTACCTAAGCCACTTTCGTATGTGGTCTTAGATCGGATACGTGTGATAGATACGTCTATCTATCTCTCTATCTATCTGTCTGTCTGTCTGTCTGTCTGTCTATCTATCTATCTATCTATCTATGTCTCTCTGTCTATCTATCTATCTTTAACTTAAGATGAGGCTTGTTGACTTGTCTGTCTGTCTGTCTGTCTGTCTATCAGTCTATCTATCTATCTATCTATCTATCTATTTTACAAACTACAGCTCAAGATGAGGTTTGTTGGCTTGCTGTCTTTCTCTTTCTCTATCTATCTGTCTGTCTGTCTGTCTATCTATCTATCTATCTATCTATGTATCTATCTATGTATCTATCTATCTATCTATCTATCTATCTATCTATCTATCTATCTATCTATCTATCTATCTATCTTCTATCTATCTATCTATCTGACTTGCCAGGTCATTCGGTACTTTCACATAAATCCAACTTGTAGTTAGTTGCATTAGCCCTTTTTTCAGGAACACCTATCATACAGGTGCATTTTGTAGGTTTACAATAACTGAATATTCTACCAGTTAAAGTATCCAGTCAATAGTGGTCCTATGATCAAAGTTAACATGATGAAGGCCGAGAGGATGAATAACATAAACTGTGTATAAAAAATGAGCTATAGTCTTGAACTAACTTCGAGTTTAGTGTGACTAATAAAGCAGCCAGTAAGTGTATGTACCTATATATCTTTCTGTCTGTCTGTCCGACAAATTCACACTCAGTGAGCTTCACTTCTCTCTATCCTTCAGGGTATGTTTTCCAGTGTTTCTCATGTTCTCTCTCACTCTCTCCCTTTCTGTGTGTACCTGGTAGCGGGTGGGGTTTTTGATGGGTTTCCTCACTGTGTACTCCTCTCTGCTTCTTGAGTGAGCTCGGTATCGATCCGGCTGAATGAAAGACAAAACGAGCATTATAATTCAACAAGAGAAACAAGCATTACAAAGAACTTCCGCTGCCTTCACTTCAGTGCAGCTAAGGTTTGTCTCTGTACCAGAGTCTGCTCAACATTCTCCATGTAGAGTTCTGCAGGCTGCATTCTGCTCTGAGACAGACAGTTCAATCACAACTTTTACTGAAAGCAGCTTCAGTACGAATAACTGAATAGGAAGATTCCTCTAAACGTCTCACAACAAAACAATAAGATAAAGAGCCAGTATTATTCTAGGGAATTATAAAATACTGGAGCTTGCTCAGCAGCTGTGGAGAGGCAGTTTGATTGAGTAAAGTGCTCTGGTGCATGAAGAGCTTTGAGCCGAATGGAACTAGATGGTGGCAACTTGGAAAAATAGTGAAAAAGGAAAAAAGAGTGAGAGCTCCTGACACAATCAGAAAAAGCTTTCACATCTGCGCTGTGATGAGGAGAGAAAACAGCCAATGCAATCAGCACACATGCATATGGCATGTAGGCCACTTGCATGCAGCCCCCTACTGCTACATGTGTAAACACAACTGGTATAATCTCCAAAGGAACAGATGCTCTTGGTCAGCTGCATATGAACTGAAGGTCACCATGCCTAGTGGCAAGCGTCAGCTAGAGGAGTATAAAGATCCCAAGCCTTGAAGCAACTGTGTTCTCTGAAGTGATGGAGATTCATCCAATACCTTGTTGCAGTGGGATCCAACTAATCATCTAACATCAGTACCTGACCTCACTAATGCTCTTGTGGCTGAATGCAATCAAATCCTCATAGCAATGTTCCAATATCTAGTGTAAAGCCTTTCTAGATGAGTTGAGGTTATTGATACAGAAAAGGGGAACAAACTCCTTATTAATGCTGGTACCTACAAACCTTTGAACATACACTTCTAATGTAAGTTTTTACTTACTACCATATATATATATATATATATATATATATATATATATATAATATATATATATATATATATATATATTGTCTCTGTCCAATGAAAAACATGTATCTCTATTTTTTGCGATCTTTTCTGCATTGGAGCTCAGCAGCTGTCCTTTACATTGTGTGAAAATTTCATGATGATTGGACCAATAGAAATGTCTTTGCCCTCTCCTGTAAAGTTACTATTTTGGAGAAATATGTTTTTCTTTAGACAGCGACTATATATATATATATATATATATATATAGATAAACACACATGAACACACAGACAGTATCTGATTCTGTAACTGTAGAAGTCTACTTTTAACACTGGCTCATCATTTTGTTTTTTCAGACCTTTGGCCGTGAGTTGAGCATGCCCATCTCCACTTCATTGTCATGGCGATGACTTTTGGCTTTGCAGAGGCGTACGAGGCAGGCTTTGGTGCGCAGGGCCAGATAGTAGAAGGACTTAGGACTGGGCACCAGATTAAAAGGGGCAGGCAACGTGCGACCCTCATCAAAATAGGACAACCATAACTTAGCACGAGCAAACTTCCACTCCACATCAGCATCCTCCTATAGTGAGAGAGAGAGACAGAGAGACAGAGAGAGAGTGTGCGGGGGAAGAGCCAGGGGTCAGAAGAAGAAAGAGAAGAAAGAGGAAAAGGAAGAAAAAGAAGGAGAAAGAGGGAAAGAGAGAGAAGGAAAGAGCGAGAGGAGAGAGAGAGAGATACAGAGTAACAGACAGATGGGGTGAAAGAGACAAAGTGTGAGAGAGGGAAAGAGAGAGATAGGGTGATAAGATAAGAGTGGGAGCAAGAGAGAATGAGATTAGGAGAAAGAGGGAGAGAGAGGGACAAGTGAACGAGATAGAGAGAGAGGGATAGGGAGATGAGAGAGAGAAAAACAAAGATAGAGGGGAGGAGAGAGACAGAGGGGTGGGGGATAAGGAGAGAGACAGAGGGGTGGGTGATAAGGAGAGAGAGAGAGAGAGAGAGAGAGAGAGAGAAGAAAACAAGAAAGAAAGTTAGAGAGACAGGGGAGAAAGAGAAACCGAGGGGGAGAAAGAAGGAGAAGGAAATAGGAGGGAGATAGGATAAAAAGAGTGAATGAAAGAGAGAGAGAGAGAGAGAGAGAGACAGAGAGAGAGAGAGAGGCAGAAAGAAAGAGAGAGTGGGAGAAAGATATAGGGAGGTAAGATAAAAAGAGATGGAATGAGAGCAAGAGAGGGGGAGGAAGAGAGGGAGGGAGAGGAATGGAAAGAAGCGTGAGCAAACTAACAATCCCAGATCAATAACTAATCACACTATGGCTGTGACTATTAAAACCACATATACTGCAAAATCAGGCACTACCTGCTATTTCATCTGTAAGTAATTAACAAGGGTCTGTTAAGTATGTATTAGTTTATGTTACTACATCATAATGAACAGTATCTGAAAGAAGAATTATTGCTCACCTCGATTTCCTGGTAGGAGCTGTTGATCATGGCTATAAGCATGTTGAGCAGCACCACTACCATAGTGACGTTATACACTCCATACAGCACATAGCCAATGTTCTCAATGAACTTATGGTCATACTTCAGCACCACTGAGATCACCTCTGACAGGCCGAAAATGGACCAGAACAGGGTCTTAAAACTCTCCTCCACCCTAAATAAACACACACACACACATTTAAATAATGCAGTTTGCAGAGACAATGCAGAGAGGTTGTTTAAGTGTGCACAACAAAATGCAACGGCTGTTAGCACTAAAGAACGCATTGTATTCAAATTATAGAACACATTGTCCTGACACTGAACATGTGCATATAAAACAGAGGCTTAAATAATGCAGTTTGCAGAGCCAATGCAGAGAGAGGCAGTTTAAATAAGGCTGATTTTAAAGTGCAGTATAAAAGTGAGCTTGTGCATCTGTGTCTGTGCAACAAAGAGTCATTAAAAATGCAAAATGTTCCAACAATAAAAATAACACAGTTCCAACAAATACA